TAACAACCTGTTTCTTTGGCTCAAACCGTAACCCTGTGCTGTCGCTCCATAAATGACACTTCCAATGAGACCTTTTTTTCTCTTTTCATTACTGGGTCTAGAATGCCCGAAGAGATGCTATTAAATTGCAGGAGAGGCTTCAACAAATCTTCTTCTGATGCGAGTATACATCATCATGTAGCCACTCCGGTGGAGAGTTCTGACTGTCTACTTCTTGACTTGTCTTGTTCTAGAACAGTGGCTCTCAACCTTTCTAATGCAGTGACCCTTTAATACAGTTCCCTCATGTTGTGCTGACCCTCAGACAATAATTGTCCTTCATAACTTCAATGAATATGTGTTTTTCTACAGTCTTAGGCAACCTTGGGGGGATGGGGGGGCTCTCATCTTATCTATCCCCCACATTAGGATAGTACGACAAATAAAATGAAGGAAATGCAGCTGGCTGAGTTGTTAGCACACTGGACTCTCATCCGAATGAATTTTAAATTTTTTGAATTCTCAGTAAGAGGTGACAGGGTCACGGCATGTTCCGATACATTCATTGTGAACCCCAGGTTCATGGAGCTGATAAATCCCTAGACTCATTCCCTGCCTGTCGACACAAAGTCATACAACTATTTCAATAAGCAGTATATAAACAATATGTGGTCATAAAATAAACAACTGTGTTATGCTGATGACACCATCTTGATAGCGAAAAGTCAGAAAGAACTACAGTGGTGGCAGAAAGTGAAAACTGGACCTGTTTAAATAATGGGAAGACAAGTAATGGTGATTTCCAAGAAAAGAATATTTCCTAAATGTATAATAACAGTTAAAGACATTATTTTGCGACAAGTACAGAAGTTTAAGTATCTAGGCACATGGATAACATCAGATGGAAGAAGTATCACAGAGATAAAGAACAGAATAGTATGTTAAAACTGCATTTTATCAAATGAAGAACATCTTATGCAATAAATCCATGTCAATGGGGGTTAGGAAAAGAACTCTCATGCTATATAGAGCCAGTTTTAACATACGCTGTGAAGCCTGGACAATTAATAAACAAGACGAACAATATCTGAGCCTCAGAGATGTGGTTTTACAGAAGAATCCTTAGAATTCCTTGGACAGCTAAGAAGAACAACACAGATGTTTTGAGAGAGGCGAGTGCTCAGAGACAATTTATCAAAAACATCAGAAAGAGACAATCATTATTTTTGGTCATGTTATGAGAAGAGAGAAAATGGAACATGTTATGACCACTGGAAAGATTTGTGGAAAGAGAGACAGAGGAAGACTGCATAAGAAGATTCTTGACGGCCTTTTGTCATGGCATGGAGGGGTGTCAACATACGATCTTATACACGCAGCTGCGGACCGAAATTATCTTCTTCTTCTTCTTCGCATTCACCGGCTGTGAACTCCGGCGGAAAGTTCTGGTTGTTCGTCCACTTCTGGACTGCAGTCCTGTTCCAGAACCTGAGTGTTGCGTGTGCATCCGTTTGACAGATCTGTATGCAGACTTGGTTCCTTGCCTCTCAAGCAGATGCACTCCGACTTTGAAGGAAGCTCCCAATTAGTCGACTCTTACGACATGCTTTTGGGTAGTCAGTGGGTCTATTCTTGTTTTTCCCATAGTAGGGCCCCGGAACCCACACGGGAGACCAAAATTATGAAGAGGCATGATCGCCCACACTAGTCAACAAGGTACTTGATGATGGGCAGTAAAGTTTTTTTTTCTTGTTCGTTTTTTTTAAATAATAATTTTTTAATAAATGAACTTACTGTTACTTTTTAGTAACCATACATTCTCTGAGTGTGTTTGTGTGTGTGTGGGGGGAGGGTGGCCCCAAGCCTCATTTTAGAGTTATGTTTTTTTTAAAAAAGACCCCTGCCCCAAAACATGTGTGTCACAGATGACGATAAATTAGGGGTGTGGTGAACAGGGATGTGTTGGGTCAATAGATAAACAAAAATGTTATCACCCTCACTGCCCCCTACCCTTTAAAAGTAAGTAAAGAATGATACAATCATAAAGTTAGTTATCAATTACTTACTGTTGCTTTATTTGGTCTTCTAACTTTCATTGACTTGCTGTATGCTTTAGCGCAGCTTTTGTTCACTTCTAATTCCACAGATTCTGAAAGATTTGAGAGACAACAAAAAAAACTTTTAGTATTTTCATATAAAAAAGACAGAATAGTCAAAGTCAAAGACGTCATTGTGGATTTTAAAAGGTGTATGATAGAGTACATAGAAATAGTTTATGGAATGCTATGAAAGACTGGAATATCAAAGAAGTTACTTATCATGACCTAACTATGTATGGAAGACACTTGTAATATAGTAATATATAAAGGCAGAAAGTCAGACCCTTTTCATATAAGATCTGGTTTAAAGCAAGGTGACTCTGTCCCCACTTCTTTTCAACTTGGCCCTGGAAAAAACTATAAGGAAACTGAAACAAGAGTGTACTGTAGGAGAATCTACAAGAATACTAGGGTATGCAGATGACATTGATATCGTTGGAGAAAATGAACTAGAGAATTAAAACATTGACTCTCTTAAAAGAAACAGTTTAGAAAATGGGACTAGTTATCAATCAAGATAAGACAGAATGCATGATAATAACTAGACAGGAAAAGAATATAAATTCCGCCACATACAAATGAAAATCAAACATATAAGTACTTGGGTGCAAATTTCAAGTGCTCCAACATGCTGGGAGAAATACAATCTGGAAATAAAGTTTACTATGCACTTCAACATCTGCTAAAGTCAAAATGTCTACCTCGCAACTTGGAGCACAACTTAAAGAGATGAAGGCTTATTACAGGTTTTCGAAAACAGAGTCTTATGACGAATCTTTGGACCCATCAAAGATGCAGACAGCGGGGAATGAAAAGTGAGAAGCAATAACAAAATTCATAATCTGTTTAAACCACCACTGATCACTAGCATCATGAGAGGCTAATAGACTGAAATGGTTGGGGCATATTGAAAGAATGTCAGATGACAGAGAAGTAAAAACTATACACAAGGGAGATTAATGGTCGTAGACCACGAGGCAGACCAAGAAGACGATGGAGAGATAATGCCCAGACGGATCTGCAAACACTTGGTGTCACCAACTGAAAAGAGAAGGCCAACCACAAAGATGAAGGGATGCGGGTGATATCTGCAGCAATGAACCTTCAGGGCTCAGAATGCTGAAGAAGAAGAAGATGAAGAAAAAGACAGAAAATATATACCACTTTTTAAACCACTCATTCATTCCCATTTGGTGGACCATGGAACAAATAAATTTTTTTTTTTAAACTTTAGCATGCAGCCTGCTTTGCAATTCTAATCTGGATAAATTATGTGTTTTTCCCTATGACTGTTAAAAAGTATAAGATCTGTGGCAAACCTTAAAAAAATGAGAGTGGTCTGCAAGTCTTAATCCTCTCACCTCAAAAAAAGACAGTCTTCGTACTTTTACGGGGTTTTTTTTTATGAACTGGGTTCAAAATAAAAATTACATTAGCTCCCAGGTAGACCCTGCCTGCAATAAATACCAGGTAATGTCCTGGAAAGGGAGTTGCCGTGGTGTAGCTAGATGCTCGCCTGCGGGTCAGAAGCTAGTGGGTTCGGGTCCTAGCAGAGCTAGACTTGATATTTTTTTTTAAAAAAAAACTTGGCTCACAGGTCGATCCAGCCTTGAGAGAGTACCAAGTAGTCCTAGGAAGTAACGGCAGACGGTGTGACAACATCTCCCACCATGTGCCTAAAAGCGTGGGGAAAATGTCCTTTACCTGGTTGCAACTGCAAACATAGGTGTCCGGATGTGGTGGGTAAAATTTTATATTCACACCAAAAATTGTATATATTTAAGGTGGGAAAAAATGTGATTTTTGTTGTTTTGGTCACTGTGTCAGCATAATAAACTTATGACATCACTTTGTTCTCTGTGGCTGTGTCAATAAAATTTGTTTTCTATGTCAAAGGTAAGGAAAGCAGTTATTTCTTTGCCCTGTATTTAATAATACTTTCATTTTATCTGAGGAAAAACCCTTGCAAAATGATTATAAATATAAAACATCCATCTCTTTTAGTGACTGTGTTGGGGGGGGGGGGGGGGGGGGGGGGACAGCTAGAAGCCTTGCCTGTCTGCTTGGTGGTCATAGGTTTCAACCGCCTGTATATTTATAAACACTGACCAATACTCCCTATTTCTTCTGCTGCTATTTCTCTTCCTCTAGTTTCTTAGGGTATAGTCTCAGAGAATTATAAAGATGTTTCTATTAAGAGAATTTTTTTTAAAGCAATGTTTTCAGATCTTTACAGGACAAAATAGTGAGGTAATTGGCAACAACTGTTCTAAATGGTTAGAAATTTTTTTGTTTGTTAAGTCACCTTCATTATTGAGTTAAATGATGTAGAACAATTCTTAGAGTATCATGACCAGAAGAGAAAAAAAAATACTTGTTTGCAATCTGAATATCAAGGTGGACTGGCTCTTTTTTTTTTTTTTTTTTTTTTTTTTTTTTTTTTTTTTCAAAGTATCCAGAAACCATGAGTGTTAACTCTTTGCCTTGGTACTATAGATATCGCAACCCTTCTATCTATGACAGATACCGTAAATCTGGGAGAAATGTGGCTCCTCTGCCTACCCCGGGCATGAACCCAGACCACAAGGAATTCGTCACCCGGTCGCAGAGAAATCAGGTTTAATCAACTACGCTAACGAGCCGGGCTAGGGGACTGGCTAATAAACAAAATTGTTTCTCAGAAGCTGAAATACTTTGGCTATTTTAGCAGAGAGAGAAATAATCCACGTGGGATGACAACAGGAAGCAAGGTTGTTGATCCTCTTGTCCTTAACTTTTATCTTGTTCTGCTGTCCAAATCAAATGAGAATTGTTTACACAAAAAAAATAAAACATTCACTGCCAAAACAGAGCCAGGGTACACTGATGATTGTGAAATGCAGTCACTAACATCTAAGCGACACAATATGAAAACAAGTTTACCTGAATCAGCTGAGAAGGAATCTGAGAACAGAGTTGGCGATCCAGAGTTGACCCTAGGCACACTTTCTTGGGAAGTCTCAGAACCGTCCAAGGGAATTCTGTCATTTGTGAGACAGGTTAATGAAGAGTCACTTGAATTTTTGCATGCTGAACGATATGCATCTTTTGAGGCTACAGGGTTAACTGTCTTTTTGGGGAGCTTTACCCGTTTGGATCTGACTGGTGGTGAGTTTTCTGAAGCTTGAGGTAAAGCAGATTTCACTGGTGACTCAAACGAATCAAATCCAAAGAAAGAATCTCTGTCACTTTTGCTTTTATTTTTATTAATTTGTTCCGTTGTGAGCTTTTCTGATACAGTCGATTGAGAAACTGTATTATTTTTCTTATTAACCTTATTGAGATCAATATGGGAAAGATGCTTCTGTTCCTTCATGTGATTATTAATTATATTTGTCTTCTGAGATTTCAAAGACTCTGGCTCCACCTGACGGGCATGTTTTTCTGTGTCTGATAAAGTCCGTGGTTTTTTAGTCATCGGCGACACAACTATGCCAGAATCACCCTGTGAACTGTAAGACAGTTCAACAGTGAAAGTGACGAGTGAGTCCGGGGCCAGGCTTCGTTTTCGGGAGGGTCTGTGGATCTGCGGCGTGGCAAAGCTGTTATCTGTTGGTGAAGCGCAGTCGTGGGGTTTATATGGAAGGATGGGTGTCACTTCTGGGGTAGCTGACAAAGAATTCTCTTGTGTTGAGCTGCCATTGCTGTGTAGCACCGGCGTGCTGGTTGGCATGTTTTTTGGATTCACTACTGGTGATTTTTCAACCTTTTTGGATTTTTTGGTTGTTATTTGCTTTGGAGCTTTCTTTGTGTTATTCTTTTTTCGTTGTTTCAGTTTCAGAACAGGAGCATCATCATCTGTCATATCCATTTCATATGGATCTTTGTTTAATGGAGATTTCTGGTCTGGGCTGGAGTTTGGTGTAACTGATTCCTCATCAGCATCGTATGCAGAATCCACCTAGAATTATAGAAATGGCTCATATAAGATACAGAAATCACATCGAAACAAAAAAAATTTGCTCAAATTAGATACAGAATCCACACTGAAAAAAAAAAGTGGTTCACAAAATCAAGTTAGAAATATAGAAGTGGCTCACATTAGATACAGAATCTATCTAGAAATATGGAAATGTCTCATATTAGATAATAAATCTACCTAGAAAGATAGAAGTGCACCATATTAGATACAGAATCTACACTGAAACATGGAAGGGGCTCCCATTAGATACAGAATCTAATCTAGAAATACAGAAGTGGCTAAAATTAGATACTGAATCCACTTAAAAAAATGAAAGTGCTTATATCTAGACAGAACCCACTAAAATGTTTAAGTACTTCATATCAGGTATAAAACCCACCTAACAAATTTAACAGCATAACACATTTGAGACATCCACCCTTTTTACTTATTACTGCCAATGAGCGTGACATAAGTCGAGGTTTTAACATCACCACAAGCGGGTTTCCCCATACTTGCTCTGTTCCTGTGCCAGGCGAATCAAGTGAAATGTCCCTCACTGTTGCGTTTGAAAAACTTGTGAACAAACAACTAGTTCTGGAACAATCCAGAAATATGTGCACGCAGTAAATGCGTATTTCAGTTGCTAAAGGCGCTGAAGTCAACAATTGCCACCAGAAATTCAGTTTGTTGTTCATGAAAGTAGTCGGGCACAATAAGTTGGTAACTATACACATGTAGAATTATTATACAAGGTATTTCACCAACTGACACGTAAACGGGTCATACTGAATACCACGGCACATCTGCTGCACAAATGAAAGACATAACAGAGTTCACAGGACAAACCAAGTACTGAACTCAGTAGCCCAGGCAGCAAAACCATAGACTACCATCCTTATGTGGAAACTGTATTAGCAAAGCGCTGTCAGAAGCAAAAATAACTTCGAAGCTCAACATTCTGCCAAGCCTTTTCTCCATTTTGGTCGGAAGGCCAAACATAAGGATGTATACAAACATATATATACACACACACACACACACACTCTTTCATTTACATATTCTTACCAAATTAAGTTTTTTAGAGCCTGGTGTTGTTGACTTATGCATACTCTAAGAGGGGGAAAAATAAACATTACATTAACAATCAAATAATTTAACAACTAAATTTATAATCATTAACAGTCACATATCACCAAACTAATGAGCTAAAAAATCATAACAAGAGAGATGAGATATCTTATGAAAGCTGCTGGTGTAACAAGAAAGATATTTCAAAATGGAGAATCCAGTTTATTAGATAGCAACAGATGAAATGGATTGACCATCTACCCTGGTGTCATTTACCCAAGAGTCATGTTGATGAATATAAAGATCGCACAGCAAAAAAGAAGACCATGTGAACGATTGAATAATGGTATAAAGAAGTTTACAGAATTTGAGAAAAAGTACATGAGAAAGAGCATACATATACTCTTCACAACCCCCCCCCTCCCCCCACAAGCATGTCAAAATTATGAAAGGTAACTATTTAGGGGTTTTTCCATCAAAGTGCAGGTAACTGAGAATTGAAGAACCAACAGTCTGCATACAAATACAATCGGTTCTCAATGGGCGATATAGTCAATATCGCAGTGGACTCCTTTACTTCCCAGGATGTGTACCTGGTAACCATTTTAGGATGGATCGACCTGGGAACACCATTTAGCGGCTGCTATATCAAAGCACCCCAGTTATCTCAGCTTTAGTTTCATTTGATGTTTCAAACAACCTTTGACCCTGAAGTGCCTTTAATATGTTCTAAGGACCACCTTATATGCTGGTAAATATGACGATGATGTGGTTCATCTTGGTTTAAATCTCTTAAAATTGAAGGTTCCTGAAAGTTACAAATAAGGTAAAGAGGTCAGGGAGAGAAAGATAGGGCCAGGAAGGAAACAGATGAAGCAACAGGAAGGAGGGAAATGAAAAAAAAAAATAAAAGAGCTGGAAAGATTAGATACTAAAACATGTGCTACAGAAAGAGTAAATAAGGGAGATAAGATGGAAACAAATGGGGGAGAGAGAAAGAGGTGCAGGAAAAGGAGGAAAGAGGTGGAGGACAAAAAGAGGACTTTAAACATCAAACCTTTGACCCCAAAAATCATCACATTTTTTTTTTATTTACCTGAATTCTCAAAGAAGAGCGGCGTTCTAACTGTGAAGAGCTCTTGCCCAAATCCTTTTCCAAAGTTTGGTCTGTTGAAAAGAAAAGGCACTTATGTATTGATAAATGTATTTTAAATACCTTAGAATTTTTTTTTTTAAATAAAATAATGTTTATTATAAATTAATCTTTTTTGTCACTTCTCCCAGTTACTTCACTGAAGTGTTGGCTGCATGCTTTTTCCAATGCACTTAACAATCTGGTCTTAATTTTGTTTAACTCTTTCAAGTCCCAGATAGTACTGAATTCAAAGTTGTCTATGCTCAAGTGTGTGTCAATTTCCAATTGTCTCGACATTGACATGCAATTGGATCAAGATGGACACAGCCGAGAGAGTGCAATCAACAAATTGTGCAACTCTTTCTCACTTAAATCACAGTCACTGGGCACGTCACTTTCATCCAGTGACAAACCAGCCACCTTCGTACTTGTAATCATTTATTATTACTACTTTGGATAAAAGTGGTCTTCGTCACTCGTAATGGGCGAACAACAACAAGTATCCTTGAGCAACAAGTTTTTACTCCCACAGAGCTGAAAAATACATCTTTGGGAGAGAAGGTGTTTAAGTAACATCTGGAAAATAAGGGGGTTAATATAACAGAACAATGGGGTAGGGAAAGTAAAGAATGTGTTCCATATGAAGTTAGATCATTGAACTTATGTTGACTTCCTCTGTACTAAAAGAGTTACCGCTATACATGACACTGTTGTTCAATTTGTTTGGTTTTCCCCTTGCTCTGTGTTCATTATGTTTCCTTACATGACTCTGTGGCAGTGGGTGCATGGGCATTCTTGCCGGATGGCCAAACCATCTTATCTGTTTCTCTCTAATAAACTATAGCTGGCTTGAAATAGGTTTATTTGTCGGTGTTTGTAGCTTAGGTGTTGCAAATACGCTTCAGAATTTAAGAGTGCCGGGTTCGATTCCAGGGGCATGCGATTTGGCAGCAGACTGCCTTGCATTAGTTTTGACTGTGGTATCGAAATCTACCGTTCAGAAAGCACTGGCCAAACCTGAAAGTAACATTTCCTAGTGAAACCACAAACAGCTGATAAATGCTAAGGATATTTCTGCAATGTCTGTTATATATAATACACAACTAACTTACGACATCTTCAAGTCCTAGCCTTCTGATTTCCAAATCTTACCTGTGTAGGTTCACTGGGGCTTATTGTGGAGTAAACAAGAATAGACCCAATGCCCCCCCCCCCCCTTACACCCCAACAAGCCATTGTAAAAGTAGACTAATTAGAGGGAGAGGGATGGTATTTCCTTCGAAGTCAAAGTGCATCTGCCTGAAAGACAAGGAACCAACAGTCTGCATACAAATAGGTCAGACATGTAAAAGGGATGTGCACACAACACACAGGTTCTGGAACAAGTCTAAAGTCTAGACGTGGATGAACAACCAGAACTTTCTGCCGGGGTTTACAGCTGGTGAATGCGAAGAAGAATTTTTTATTTTATCTCTTCCAAGACAAATCAATGCTAAAAAAAATACAATGTTGAATGAATTGTTTGTTGCTTAAATTATCATTATGTCGAAGCTTGCAGCTGACTAACAATTGCTATGCTGTAAAAAAAAAAATATATATATATATATATATATATATATATATATATATATACATATATATATATATATATATATATATATATATACAGAATAATTTTCAACACAAGTTTAGCATATAGATAAATTAATTTACTCCTCTATTTAATCTCTGCACAACTCAGGAGCACAAATAATATCTCAGTTTAAGATTACAGCGAAGTGTTATTGTTAAATTGAATTGTACCAGCTTTATACTTTACAAAAATATATTTCAATTATTTTTTTTTTCATATAAATTGAGGAGATTCTGTTCATTATGCATTATGTTAGCTACATTTTATGTGTTCATAGAAGTATACAGTAGACTTTGAAGTATGACATATGTAGTTGGCTGTCAAATTATTATGACTTTTCTGTGATGCATGTTTTAACCCTTTTTCAGGTGGTGCCCCCTTAAATAGTATATGGCAAAACTTCCACCCGGACCCAATCACTGTAAAACAAATAATGTGATTAAAAAGAGGCAGATGTGCAAACTGTTCATGAAAAAGTGTTTAAAATATTGTATTTATAATTAAACTGGAAATGCTTTCAATGTCAACACTGCTTGACTGCCTTGACACCCCTTCCTTCTCCAGGCTTTTGAAACTTGTTTTGTCCACCCCCCCCCCCCACATCATCACCAGGGGGCGGGGGCGCGGCCCCAAGTTAAAAACCACTAATGTATTGCTGAGGACAAATCTAAACTTGTCACAAATACCCCTTACTTCTTCTTTGTGAACTGTGTTGGTTTTCTTCTAGCTGCAAGGATAGATTTATATTTAAAAACTTCAAAAACTAGTTTGGCGCGTTTTTTACTGTCTTTTCTTGTCGTCTTACTTACTTCCTAAACTTTAAACTCTCTCCTCTCATCCCCAAATGCAATGCAGTGTCCTACCCTACTCCGCCTCTACCTTCTCTAATTAACAATTATTCACCATTATGATTCGTTATGAACTAGTCAGCTTCCCAACAATGAACATGAAAAGTAAAAATTGTTTAATTAATAAAGTAAAGCGTCTCGTGTCTCAATCGTAAGCAAGCAATAGCTGCAATACACGTGAAAACAACAACCAAACAAACCAAACTCGCGTATCACAAACACAGGGCAAAAAGCACTATTTCTCTGGTAATTAAAATTTAAGCTGGAAGAATACAATTAACAAACTTACCAGATGCATTTTTCTTCTGATCCT